AAGAAGAGTTCGGAATGGAGAAAACCACTTTGGAAGCATGTTTTATAATATTAACCTGAAACCTAGCGCCTGAGCACTGCTATAGTACCTGATCACGATTTTTCTCTCCTACTTCATTTTAAACTCGATTTTTTGGCATCCTACTTCATCAACAACTCTACCAAAAGGATTTGGACATGCCCTACATGTTCCCTATAAATATTAGGCTCTTCTATACAATTTTTGTAACAATTACATGTGAGAAAATAGATTACTAGAATTATATGATCTATTGTAATTTTCTCTCTTCTCCATTATTCTTGGTGCAATAAAATCTCTTAATTCTTCTATCATATTCTTGTCTTCTTTTATTCTTTTGTTTGATCATATACTTCATTATTATTTGTCATATAACTTCAATATACTAATCCGATGATTGACGTCACAACAAGTGGTATCAATCCTAACAAGTGGTATTAGAGCCAAGGTTCAGCAGTTCCGCAAGAGCGAAGGGTTTGATTTGTTCGAAGTTTTTTTTCATGATAGTTTCCATGAAGTATGACATTCTGTTTTTGGATCAAAGCACTAGATTTTCACTATGGCAGGTTAAGATGTGTGCAGTGCTCGCACAACTGGATTTGGATGATGCGTTGTTGGGTATTGATAGGATGCCAACAACTTTGACCGCGGAAGAGAAATTACGGAAGGATAAAAAGGCAGTTTCTCACATTCATCTTCATCTATCAAATTTCATTCTTCAGGACGTTTGAAGGAGAGGTCAGTAGCTGCTTTTGGTTGAAGTTGGAGCAATTATGTATGACCATGAGTCTTACAAGTAAATTGCATCTCAAACAGCGATTATACTCTCATCGCAAGGCAGAGGTGGATCATTGGAAGATCACCGACTGCATTTAAGGAGATTATCGTTAATTTAGAAACATTGGAAGTTACGTATGATGAAGAAGATTCGGCCTGATCCTATTGTGTTCGTTGCCCGTTTCGCTTTCTTCATTTAGAGACACAATTTTATATAGTCGGGATACTCTCACCATTGAGGAGGTTTATGATGTTTTGTTTTCAAAAGAGAAGATGAAACATCTAGTTTTTGAGACTAGAGATGGAGAAGGCCTGGTTGCTCATTGTGGTTTTAGAAGGGGCAAATCGAAGACTAAATTCAGTAATTAAATTTGTAACTACTGCAAGAAGAAGTGGCACTTGAAG